ATATTCTACCCACTACACAGGGTTATTCAATTCCGTTTAATTCAAGACAAGAAAGGGCAGGAACGCTTCAAATAGACTGCTGTGGACATATTATTCAGAGAGCCGCATAGACCCTCGATTTAGTTTAGAAACAAGAAGATTACAGCCTAGTAGTTGGTGGAGGCACTAAGTACCCTTTGGGTATGACGAAAGGCTACAGCTATGCATAGGAAGTCTCAGTTAATGGGATGCCGGGTTCCCTTTGAGTGTAGAAAAGCTGCTGCTCGACTTGAATTGAGGTTGTGCCTCTTCCAATCGCCATAGTTAAACTTCTGATTAGCCCTACTCTACTAGATTTGCCATAGCAAATTCGATAAAGGAGGGGTGAAAGACTTAAATTTCTATATATGTAGAAAGGACACAACCTTTTTAGAAACAAAGACTACGAGACTTTAGATTATCCATCCACTGTTACAAGAATGATATGTGCCTCCATTAGGAAGAGAGGGAGAATGTAACTCAGTTTCGGTTAAAGTTGGCTTGCTGGATCTTGGAGTTGAACGTGAATAATTGTGAGAAATTACCCCCTTGTGTATCCTTCTGTTCCTAAGGGAAGGGGCTTACTCATATAAAATATATAAAATAAAGTTTGCACTTAATCTATTAAGGTATTTCATTCCAATCTTCTGATCTTCAACTATTCTCACCCCTCGGAGTCTAAAAAGATGTGTATCTTGCTATTGGTATCAATCGGTCCTCTCTTTCCTTTTGGTGGTATAGCCGCATGTGTAGATTACCCTTATTCTTCATCTTCTCTACCCTTCGGTTGCTTAGGGCGCCCTGAGGGATTCGCCTCTAGGAGAAGAGTTATTGATCACATAGCTTGGGTACTAGAAGTTGCGGATCGTATCATTCGGGCAGAGCCTGGGTCCCTTAGTATTATGTATAGCGCAGCTCCCTCAAAGTTTCTTTTGCTAGTTTTGTTCCGATCGATGAAGGAGACTCTACTAGTCGGTAGCGCGCGGATTCGTTTTCCTATTTCACTGGGATCGGTCCTAAGGCGCGTGCTTCAATATTGTCTTGATTGGCAGTCGCTCTTCTGTATTTTTAATCTTCAGAGATACCCTTAGAGTTCTGTCCTGAATGGGAGGGTTGTTGAGTCAAGTCAAGAAGAAGAAAAAGAAAGTCCCACAAAGGAATCTTGGACAATGGGCACAAGTCTTTCTTTATTAAAGTTTTTATTAGTATCTCCATTATAATTAGCATTTCTATCAGCTCTGCTCTTTTGTCTCCTGAATATCATCTCGAGACCCAAACAACGAGATCCGGATTGGAACCAACGCATATTGATTCAAAGCTTATGGCCCTTCAATACAACCCCCCTCTGTATAAAACCGTAAGTGAGCGGTGCGAGTCTACAAAGAATACTTAACATCTTCCTTCTTTGGCGCTGTTGGAGATGCCCCACAAGGCCTTCTTTCTCAAGATTGAATTATTCGCGGTGAACAAAAGGAAGCAACGCCGCTACAAGCAATAGAAAGCAACGTTTATTAATCCATTTCAGTAGGTGGCGGTGTACACTAGGTATCAACAAAGGACGCTTTCTCTCACCCAGCCCTTAGGAGGTGTTAACTCTTCGCCTTCGGCTTTCCATTGAATGATCCATCCGGTGTGCTATTTATACTCCGTCAGTGAGGGCTTCTCCCTTTTCAATCTACATGGCATACGTACACGAATATTATCATCGACTCGGCTCAAAGCATATGATCAAAGCTCTAGTGGCGCACATAGCAATATCAGAATGGAATTCTCGTCGGCCTGACCGGCAGTAATAGCGAACTAACACTGTTCTAATAGAAAGGGGGAGTCCCTCTTTGCGGTAGATAACGCAACCGAACACAAAATGAAGCTTTCAGTCTCGCAAAGCATCTGGGCCCCCCGGAAACAGCCAGCGAATCGATAACTGAACAAGAGGAAGTAGAGCGTCTCACGACTCTATATGCTGTACCACATACTAAGACCAAAAGCCGTTCTTAATAGAAGTCCCCAGGAGCTGGTTCCTTGAAAACTCTTCCCTCTCCTGTCTTTGAGGAATTCCACGTGCAAGAGGGTCTACTCTCATTGTTGAGGTACCCCCGTTCACTCCGAGGCCATTCAACGGCCATTCCACGAGGTAAGCCCGCTAACCCCGAAAGTCATTGTCTCCTGGTTCGTTCTTCCTGTGGATTCCCTACCAATCTAAGTAAATAAGGGTTCTCGAACCCCGTCTCTCCCGTCATTGAGGTAAGCGCGGCTATCCCGATCGGGCTAACCATTTAAAGATGAAAGATTTCCCTCGGGTAATTAATGGCAGGCGCTCTCCGAGCCCTGTGCTTTCCTGTATGTGAGGAAGGGGAGTTATTCTGTTTATGGAAATAAGAGGGATACCTTCAGTGCACGAACTGCCTTTTATTTATTTGGGGCACCTAATCTTCCGTATTTGTATTTAATGAGTACAAGGAATTATTATCGCTTAGCGCTTGTGCTAAGGATTGCTCTCTTCCCTTCTTCCTTACTCTAACAAGTAAGCAAGTTTCACTCCCTCTCCCTATGGTCGAGTGAGTCCCTACCTTTGGTCGAGCTAGTAAACTTCCTTGATGTGGAGTGGTACCGGGGGGTTGAAGCTCTTAGCTCAATGGCTGCTCCTTGCAGAAGGTTCTGAAAGAATTTTAGGTCCTATCTTTAGACTTCTTTAAGTAAGTTTCCTGCGCTGCTTTTCCCTTGAGCGAAGAACCGAAGTAATGAAAGCGTGCCGGTTCTGAAAGAAGGAGAGTGTTCTTTGACTGAGGATCAAGACAACAAAGGTTATGAAGGAAGTGCGTTTTCCGTGCTTTAGAATAGAAATTGGTAGAAACCCACGTACTCTTGATTCAAATCACTCTGTTTTCCCGTGGTTTTCATAGGAACTGGTAGAAGCGAAGGTAAAAAGCATTCATGAAGAAGCAGAGCACCAAGGGGAGTTACTTGCTCGACCGTTAGAGTAAGGCAACCGTTTAGGTTGTGTTAGAATGGGAGTTCCTGTGAAGGTGCCGAAGGTGAAGCAGCTTTACGACGAGAGTGAAACACTAGGGCATCGAAGGTAGGTTACTTGCTCTTTAAGGAGAGGAACGGGGTAGCTCGACCAACAGGAGAGGGAGTTTACTCGTTAGAGCGAGGCGATTGGAATGAGGGTGCGCTCGAATGAAAGCTCTAGAGAGGAGGCACCAAAGGTTACGAAGTCAAAGAAATTATGCCATTCTTTTTCCATTTCCCCTAAAGGTTCTGAAAGAAAAGGGGAAGGAGAGGTGTCCTTATTGACTGGGGAAGAAAGGGAGGCAGGAACTGTTGAAAAGAGTCTATTTTACCGTGTTTTTCCATAGCAATGGTGCTTTCACCCGTAGGACTGTGTCACTTCACCATGTCACTTTTTGATTCGAAAGGGCATTAAGATGGTATAGCTCGAGGTGAAGAGCACCACCTTCCTTTCAGAACCTTTCTAGTAAGTAGCTACATTCCTTTCTTTTACTTCGTAACCTCTTGTCACTCTTTCCTTGCGATGCCTTCCTGAAGGTGAGGCTCCAAAGGGAGTTTACTTGCTCGACCGTAGGGAGAGGGGTGAGGCTTCTGTCTCAGCGACTCTTCCTTGCGGTTAGAAGGACTTTTTCTGTCTACTCTTCCCTATGGTATCTTTAGCCGCCCTTGAGTCTGCTTGCCCGCTCTGTGGAGGAGAGAAGCAACGCTTTACGACGACAAGGCACCGAAGGTGAGGCAGCGAAGTAACCGAAGGTGCGCGTTGGGATGCGAGTTCCAGGGAGTTAGGGAGCGCAGCTTATTGACTCCGTTATCAATAGTCGGACAAACAAGCAAAAAGAGTTGTTTTATGAGCGAAATGACCCTTAATTGCTAGTAGTTTGTCCTTATCTGTTGCGCGGTAAAACCATGAAATATCTCATCACCTTCGGTGCCTTGCTTTCTCGTTGTCCTTGGCATCACTGCATGAAGCTATTGCTAACAGAGAGCGAGTGGCCCCTTGGAAGGAACACGAACGGAGGGGAAGCAGCTCTTCCTGTCTTCTTAATGTGGAGCTACGTGGTATGGGGGTGCTCCCCCATCCTCTAACCGTTTAAAGCAGCTTAAAGAGAAGAGCTAGTCGTTATACTCCTATCTCCTTACCTTCCTTGCGCTATAAGAGGAGTGAACGCTTCCTGGGAGGGAGCATGAATGGTGTGGAAGTGGTTGTTCTTTGCCTGCTGTTCCTGTTGTTTTAACATTACTTAACTCCTAGCTCCATAACTTCCTTGCTCTTATAGTAAGTGAACGCTCTCTCGAAAAGAGCATGCGCGGAAGGAAAGTTCTTCCTTTCTTCCTGTCTCTAGCATCTAACAGCCTAAAGGGAAAGCTGCTAATCATTACACTCCTAGCAAGCTCGCACACTTCCTTGCGCTACATAGTGAGTGAGTGAAGGAGTTGGTTACTTTGTTGGTTGTTCCTCCCTCCTTTCTTTCAGAACCTACTACAGCCAAAGAAGCCTTTCTCCCTGTCTCCGAAAACGGACTGAGAGCTTTATTGAGCACGATAGAAAATTGCATTTATGGGGGGATATAAATACCTCTTAACGCCTGATCTCAGTGTAGCTTCTTCGCTTCTGAGGCACTTAAAAAAGATAAAAATGGAATTTTAAAGAGGAAGATTAAACTAGCTCGACCAAAGGGAGAGGAGACGGGAACTCTTTGACAAAAGGGTGTTTTCCCGTGTTTTTTGGCGTGAAACGTGTTTTCACCCCTTGCTTTTTTTGAAACAAAATCCGTTTTCCGGGGATTTTTAATAGGAATCGGGGTTGTAGTAAGCGGGGAGTTTTACTTTTTTGTCGGGCTCCACAAAGCCTTTCGCCGACATCAATAACATTTCATATCTCACGAATTGGATTCGAACCAATCAAGCTACTTCCCTTTTAGTAGATCGTGAGTGGGTCTGTCGTCCTCCTAATTAAAGTCCTCCTAAAATCAATAGCATTTCGTCGGAATACATCCTGTCTTTTCACCTTTGTAGTCCTATGCATAGTCAGTACTATAGCCCCAATCATGGCTACTAATAAAATAAGACTAGGAACCAAAAACCAGACGAAATAGTAGGTATAAAGTAAATTGCCCAATGTTTCCAAATTTGTCCAACTTTGCACCTTTCCGGCATAAACCGTATATCTCAGAGAGGTCGTATTTCTTTGGGTTGGTAGTAATGGAATGGTTTCATTATCTAAAATGAAGAACATTTCCCACCAAAGGATCAGTCCAATAATACCACTCACTGGTAAATAGCGCAATACTTCTTCGTGAATCTCCGCTATTTGAATATGGAACATCATAACAACGAATAGGAATGAAACGGCTATAGCTCCTATATGAACTACTGGGAAGATCATTGCGAAGAAGTCGAGACCTAACAAAAGAAGTAAACCTGAAGTGTCGCGAAAGACTGGAATGGGAAACAAAACGGAATGTACCGGATTTTTTGCACGTGCAACCATCAAACCAGAGACCAAAGCAGGGCTCGACAAAACGGAAAGTATCATGACTTATTAAGATTTCACTTGTAGTTCCGCTTCTTGCTCTAACAGAAAGACTTTTCGGAAATCTGGTTGGTCCAACCAAGAAAGGCATGGGAGTCTTTGGGCGTATTTCATACGCAATTTCTTTTTCTCAATTCAATTGCAGTCTCCGAAGTCCTTCTTGATCGATGGTCCCCCATTAGCATTAGTGCCAATTAGTAGCCGCTCTTTTTGGAAGGCGAGGTACTCATGTGTGATCGCGGATTCCGCGGTAGCAGTAGTTCTAGCTCTACATTAGGAGCGCGGGGCTCTATCTATCTAAAGGGGGTACGGACCCCTTCCATAGTACGGTACGATGCAGTTGAAAAACGTAAGCCCGGTTGGGCTTACGTTTTCTTGCTTTTCTTTGTTGAACCCTTTACGGTCTACCCCTCTTTCTCGATATCCCAATTCTAGCGGTCGTTAGCAGAAGTAGAGATAGGGGGAGGTAGGAATGAGGGCCCGTACTCGTCTTAGAGCTAGTTTGACTTAGTGTACAGGACAGTGGTATGCGTGTCAGGGGAAGAAGCCAAGACCTCTTAGTTACCAAACCTTCGCCCATAGCCTAAAGGAGGAGAGGAAGCTTTAGAAAGTGACTCTTTGGACTAGTCTCATAGCCATCTATCTCTATAGCATCCCGCAATTCCTGCTCCTTCCCGTCCTTCTTTTCGTTCTTGATAGCACAGGAAAGAGACTGTTCTTGGTCCTTGGCCGTCCTTTGTCCTCTTTCGATAATACCATAGATGCTATTGGTCCCGATCTTCGATTCAATCTGGGAATGGTTGTTAAAGAGACCCGTGGTAATCGTCTTTTTTTCTTTATCCGAGGTCTTAGCTATCTTTAATCAGGCTAATCTTCTTCCTAAAGATCCCATCCTGCTTAGAAAGATAGCAGCCAGAAAGAGAATGTATAAAAAGCTATGATAGCGGAGTTAAGTTAAGTGGAGAAGTAAGTAGACTGGACAACTAAGAGGGAGACATTAGTGATTCCCCTCCAATCGATAGCTCAGAAAGAAGGAAAAGGGATTACTTCTTACTCATCTCAGATGCGGCTAATCGACTGATGATCTTATCAACTTACTCGGTATATGGAGAAAGTCATCAACAGACTTGTCTTGACGCTGCTTGGCTTCCGTCAATTCTCTTACGCCTACGCACTAAAGGCAAAAGGATGTTTATCTGTACTTCCTCTATCTTACGTCCTTTGACTTCACTCCGCTACGCACCTTCAAACAGCCTAGTTGTCCTAAGAGCGGATTCATCCCCAGATGGGCAAGGGAAAGCCTAAACCTTACTCCGCCAAGCCCTTCTTGCAAAGACCGGTAATGCCACATCTAAGAGAAGAAAGCATCGAATCCTCTCTTTGCTATAGTTAAGATATCCCCTGCTATATCTGCTGTTGAGAATCCTCTTCCAAGGAAGTCTTCTTTTTTTCTTTCCCCCAATCGTCTCTTGCAGAGAGGGCTTTATAATCGGATGGCAAAGAGAAAGACTAACTAACACTCTCCATCCTTTCTTATATTATATACGCTACGCTATTTGCAGTGAAGTGCCTTATGCCGAAAATTGTCTTGCACATAATCGTCTTCATCCCATGCTGCTTGACGGAATGCCTTCTAGAACGAGAGTGAAGAAAGAAGGGCAGAGAATGTCTTTTTTCTCGATAGCCGTCGCGCATTCTTCCTCTCTTACTTTCCCTTTCGCGGGTAAGTAGATAGTCGGTCCCTTCCCTGGCCCCGCAACCAAGAGTCACTCGTCGAAAGCTTGATTGACCAGGAAGACAAGCAATAGGAAAGAAATCCCAATAAGGAAAGCCATAGCCAGCAGGCAAGTAGTACGGCCAAGACTCTAAATAAGAAGACTCGCCAAAGTCCAGCTTTAAACATCCGGAAAGAAGATCAAGCGAAAGCCCAGCGGCTAGAATTTCTATTGAACCTTTACAGCTACAGTGCCCAGATCGTTACGCCTTTCTTTCCTTTCGGACTAATAAAAGCAACCAAGACTTAGCAATGGCAATGGCGTCCTCTGCAAGCGTAGCAGTTGGTGGAAGGGGAAGAGGAGGTCGTATACGGGCCTTAACCAAATCGAGGTGAAAAAATAAGCCTATTTAGGGTTAGGTAATGAGGAATTTGAAGTGCTTCACTGAATAAGTGAAGGAATGGGTTCAACTTGGAGATGGAAGTATTGAAAGACAGATCGACCAATGGGATAGCAAAGATCCCGAAAAAGGCTACCATTCCGGCTTTGAAGGGAACGGAGGGAAATAACTCAGAAAGTCAGGGAGCTGCTTGCGCTCGGGGGAGCTCAGTAACAGGGTCTTCTTTCTGCCTCTGTATTCGCTACTACTTCTTCTTAGCTCTTAGCTAGGGCAATACTCCTAAGAATACTCCCAAGTAAGGGAAGCTCTGACCAGAAGATGGAATCTGTACGGCGGATAGGTGCATCTGTTGAAGGCATTCGAGCCCGCTTGACGGTCCCCGTCAAAGCAGTTCTTTTTGGTACATTCCTTTGCCTAACTATTCTAATTATATAGTATATAGTTATAAGGGAATGAACTGAAGGTTTGAGAAAGATCTTTGAGAATCATCCTTGAGCAGACTGCTCCACAAGAACCCCCCACCCCCGTATTAGGGCTACGAATCTTTCGTTTTTGGTATCTCTCTCAAGATTATAGGTTCCTTCTGAAGGAATTATTATCGCTTAGCGCTTGTGCTAAGGAATGGTGGCTTTTTTCGTACTTTTAGCAGCTAGGGAACGAGAGCTACAGCTACCTTGTCTTAGGATAGGAAAGGCAAGGACGGCCGATTAGGTTTGGGCTTTGGCTTTGGATAAGATGTCCTCAGACAAGAGAGGCACTTAGAAACCATCTCGAGCCTACTTAATTAAATAGCTTACTGCTTTCTAGCCGGCTTTAGGTCCTTGGCTGAGCAGAGGAGGAGAGAGGTGTTGGGGGACGCCTTCCTCTTGTGGTGTTGTGGAGCGTTCCCCCTTTTACGGGTTCATCCCGCTAAGGAAAAGCTCCGGATTTTGTTTGAGCCTTTCTCCCTACTCTTAACGGAATAGCTATAAGTGCGTCGGTTGATGGCGACTTGCCCGTTAGTAGGTACCCTTCTTCCCTTTCACTTTTAGAAGAAAGCTTTGATTAGAGAACTACCAGCTCCATGACTCAATAGGCGAGGAATCGCTGGAAAAGGCATGATCACCGGCGATACAATCGAAGGAAGGAAACGCCGGAAGAGGTCAACTTCGCACAGCGTAGGACACACGCAAGGACGTCAAAGAGAGATCTACGTCAGCAACAGTGATCAGAGCAGCGAGAACAGCTAGCTGAGGAAAGTGGAGTTTTACCTATTTGACCCCAGATCCAGTCTCTTCGGGGTAAGCTCCCTTCTGCAAAGAAAGAAGTGATTTTTTTTTTTTTTTTTTTTTTTTTTTTTTTTTTTTTTTTTTTTTTTTTTTTTTTTTTTTTTTTTTTTTTTTTTTTTTTTTTTTTTTTTTTTTTTTTTTTTTTTTTTTTTTTTTTTTTTTTTTTTTTTTTTTTTTTTTTTTTTTTTTTTTTTTTTTTTTTTTTTTTTTTTTTTTTTTTTTTTTTTTTTTTTTTTTTTTTTTTTTTTTTTTTTTTTTTTTTTTTTTTTTTTTTTTTTTTTTTTTTTTTTTTTTTTTTTTTTTTTTTTTTTTTTTTTTTTTTTTTTTTTTTTTTTTTTTTTTTTTTTTTTTTTTTTTTTTTTTTTTTTTTTTTTTTTTTTTTTTTTTTTTTTTTTTTTTTTTTTTTTTTTTTTTTTTTTTTTTTTTTTTTGTGGTTGGGTTTGGAGTGAAATCCAATGGCTAAAACTATGCAATACACCAACTACTCCATTTCAGAACGAACTTGCTACGAACCTGAATAGTCCGATTTGATGGACCAATCGATATCGGATTGAGTCCAAAACTTGGGGAACAACATAATATGGTGGGAGGAGTCATTTGGTTGGTTTGGAGTGAAATCCAATGGCTAAAACTATGCAATACACCACTACTCCATTTCAGAACGAACTTGCTACGAACCTGAATAGTCCGATTTGATGGACCAATCGATATCGGATTGAGTCCAAAACTTGGGGAACAACATAATATGGTGGGAGGAGTCATTTGGTTGGTTTGGAGTGAAATCCAATGGCTAAAACTATGCAATACACCAACTACTCCATTTCAGAACGAACTTGCTACGAACCTGAATAGTCCGATTTGATGGACCAATCGATATCGGATTGAGTCCAAAACTTGGGAGAACAACATAATATGGTGGGAGGAGTCATTTGGTTGGTTTGGAGTGAAATCCAATGGCTAAAACTATGCAATACACCACCTACTCCATTTCAGAACGAACTTGCTACGAACCTGAATAGTCCGATTTGATGGACCAATCGATATCGGATTGAGTCCAAAACTTGGGGAACAACATAATATGGTGGGAGGAGTCATTTGGTTGGTTTGGAGTGAAATCCAATGGCTAAAACTATGCAATACACCAACTACTCCATTTCAGAACGAACTTGCTACGAACCTGAATAGTCCGATTTGATGGACCAATCGATATCGGATTGAGTCCAAAACTTGGGGAACAACATAATATGGTGGGAGGAGTCATTTGGTTGGTTTGGAGTGAAATCCAATGGCTAAAACTATGCAATACACCAACTACTCCATTTCAGAACGAACTTGCTACGAACCTGAATAGTCCGATTTGATGGACCAATCGATATCGGATTGAGTCCAAAACTTGGAGAACAACATAATATGGTGGGAGGAGTCATTTGGTTGGTTTGGAGTGAAATCCAATGGCTAAAACTATGCAATACACCAACTACTCCATTTCAGAACGAACTTGCTACGAACCTGAATAGTCCGATTTGATGGACCAATCGATATCGGATTGAGTCCAAAACTTGGGGAACAACATAATATGGTGGGAGGAGTCATTTGGTTGGTTTGGAGTGAAATCCAATGGCTAAAACTATGCAATACACCACCTACTCCATTTCAGAACGAACTTGCTACGAACCTGAATAGTCCGATTTGAAGGACCAATCGATATCGGATTGAGTCCAAAACTTGGGAGAACAACATAATATGGTGGGAGGAGTCATTTGGTTGGTTTGGAGTGAAATCCAATGGCTATAACTATGCAATACACCAACTACTCCATTTCAGAACGAACTTGCTACGAACCTGAATAGTCCGATTTGATGGACCAATCGATATCGGATTGAGTCCAAAACTTGGAGAACAACATAATATGGTGGGAGGAGTCATTTGGTTGGTTTGGAGTGAAATCCAATGGCTAAAACTATGCAATACACCAACTACTCCATTTCAGAACGAACTTGCTACGAACCTGAATAGTCCGATTTGAAGGACCAATCGATATCGGATTGAGTCCAAAACTTGGGGAACAACATAATATGGTGGGAGGAGTCATTTGGTTGGTTTGGAGTGAAATCCAATGGCTAAAACTATGCAATACACCACCTACTCCATTTCAGAACGAACTTGCTACGAACCTGAATAGTCCGATTTGAAGGACCAATCGATATCGGATTGAGTCCAAAACTTGGAGAACAACATAATATGGTGGGAGGAGTCATTTGGTTGGTTTGGAGTGAAATCCAATGGCTAAAACTATGCAATACACCACCTACTCCATTTCAGAACGAACTTGCTACGAACCTGAATAGTCCGATTTGAAGGACCAATCGATATCGGATTGAGTCCAAAACTTGGGAGAACAACATAATATGGTGGGAGGAGTCATTTGGTTGGTTTGGAGTGAAATCCAATGGCTAAAACTATGCAATACACCACCTACTCCATTTCAGAACGAACTTGCTACGAACCTGAATAGTCCGATTTGATGGACCAATCGATATCGGATTGAGTCCAAAACTTGGAGAACAACATAATATGGTGGGAGGAGTCATTTGGTTGGTTTGGAGTGAAATCCAATGGCTAAAACTATGCAATACACCAACTACTCCATTTCAGAACGAACTTGCTACGAACCTGAATAGTCCGATTTGATGGACCAATCGATATCGGATTGAGTCCAAAACTTGGAGAACAACATAATATGGTGGGAGGAGTCATTTGGTTGGTTTGGAGTGAAATCCAATGGCTAAAACTATGCAATACACCAACTACTCCATTTCAGAACGAACTTGCTACGAACCTGAATAGTCCGATTTGATGGACCAATCGATATCGGATTGAGTCCAAAACTTGGGGAACAACATAATATGGTGGGAGGAGTCATTTGGTTGGTTTGGAGTGAAATCCAATGGCTAAAACTATGCAATACACCACCTACTCCATTTCAGAACGAACTTGCTACGAACCTGAATAGTCCGATTTGATGGACCAATCGATATCGGATTGAGTCCAAAACTTGGAGAACAACATAATATGGTGGGAGGAGTCATTTGGTTGGTTTGGAGTGAAATCCAATGGCTAAAACTATGCAATACACCACCTACTCCATTTCAGAACGAACTTGCTACGAACCTGAATAGTCCGATTTGATGGACCAATCGATATCGGATTGAGTCCAAAACTTGGGAGAACAACATAATATGGTGGGAGGAGTCATTTGGTTGGTTTGGAGTGAAATCCAATGGCTAAAACTATGCAATACACCACCTACTCCATTTCAGAACGAACTTGCTACGAACCTGAATAGTCCGATTTGAAGGACCAATCGATATCGGATTGAGTCCAAAACTTGGAGAACAACATAATATGGTGGGAGGAGTCATTTGGTTGGTTTGGAGTGAAATCCAATGGCTAAAACTATGCAATACACCAACTACTCCATTTCAGAACGAACTTGCTACGAACCTGAATAGTCCGATTTCTTGGACCAATCGATATCGGATTGAGTCCAAAACTTGGGGAACAACATAATATGGTGGGAGGAGTCATTTGGTTGGTTTGGAGTGAAATCCAATGGCTAAAACTATGCAATACACCAACTACTCCATTTCAGAACGAACTTGCTACGAACCTGAATAGTCCGATTTGAAGGACCAATCGATATCGGATTGAGTCCAAAACTTGGAGAACAACATAATATGGTGGGAGGAGTCATTTGGTTGGTTTGGAGTGAAATCCAATGGCTAAAACTATGCAATACACCAACTACTCCATTTCAGAACGAACTTGCTACGAACCTGAATAGTCCGATTTGATGGACCAATCGATATCGGATTGAGTCCAAAACTTGGAGAACAACATAATATGGTGGGAGGAGTCATTTGGTTGGTTTGGAGTGAAATCCAATGGCTAAAACTATGCAATACACCACCTACTCCATTTCAGAACGAACTTGCTACGAA